TTGCTGATGACACTAAGCTGGGAGGGGTGGCCGACACGCCAGAAGGCTGTGCTGCCATCCAGCGAGACCTGGACAGGCTGGAGGGTTGGGCAGGGAATAACTTGATGAAATATAACAAGGGAAAGTGTAGAGTCCTGCATCTGGGCAGGAACAACCCCAGGTTCCAGTACAGGTTGGGGAACGACCTGTTAGAGAGCAGTGTAGGGGAGAGGGACCTGGGGGTCCTAGTGGACGACAGGGTGACCATGAGCCGACACTGTGCCCTTGTGGCCAAGAAGGCCAATGGCATCCTGGGGTGTATTAGAAGGGGGGTGGTTAGTAGGTCGAGAGAGGTCCTCCTTCCCCTCTACTCAGCCCTGGTGAGACCTCATCTGGAATATTGTGTCCAGTTCTGGGCCCCTCAGTTTAAGAAGGACAGGGACCTGCTGGAGAGAGTCCAGCGCAGGGCAACTAAGATGATTAAGGGAGTGGAGCATCTCCCTTATGAGGAAAGACTGAGGGAGCTGGGTCTCTATAGTTTGGAGAAGAGGAGATTGAGGGGTGACCTTATTAGTGTATATAAATATATAAAGGGGGAGTGTCACGAGGATGGAGCCAGGCTCTTCTCAGTGGCAAACAATGATAGGACAAGGGGCAATGGGTACAAACTGGAACACAAGAGGTTCCACTTAAACTTGAGAAGAAACTTCTTCTCAGTGAGGGTGACGGAACACTGGAACAGGCTGCCCAGGGAGGTTGTGGAGTCTCCTTCTCTGGAGACATTCAAAACCCGCCTGGACACGTTCCTGTGTAACCTTATCTAGGTGTTCCTGCTCCGGCAGGGGGATTGGACTAGATGATCTTTTGAGGTCCCTTCCAATCTCTAACATATTGTGATACTGTGATACTGTGACACCCCTATGAACTAGACCGCTATGAACTAGTCTCTTCTAACAAAATAAACCTTTTCCTCCACTAAAAGCTTCCTGTAAATATTTTTGTCAGGCTCTGTTGATATGAGATTTGCTAAAACTTGGATACAAGTTTTAACATGCCTGATGTGACAGAGTTTATCTTTTGATTCCTCTCTGTACATCCTATGCCTTTTTTGGAACACCCATCGTTGAGAGCATGTAAGCAGATGTAGGACCTGAGCTTATTTATGTGTTTGTATTTTTCATCTAACATACCTGCAGCATATCTGAAGAAGTGTATGTTATTTATACAATAAGCCATACTTTCAGCTGCTTTTCAGTATTTAGGAAAAATAACACTATTTTAGTGTTTTTCTGAGCCCCAAATAGTTTTACAGTTATGTCATCAGGGTATACTGTCTAAAACTTGGTTTTAGGACTGTATTTTATAATATACTATTGTATTATTATATATCTGAAATTTGGTTTTCATATAGGTAGATTATGCTGTTTGTTAGACTGAATTCATTCATTTAGAAGTCTGGAGTTTTCACATTCATGGTTATTAACATTTCACTACATAATAATATTGGAGAATGAAATCTATTTTAACTGTGACAATAAACCAGAGCTGTTATGAAACCATGGCTGAAGGCCAAGTGTTCTCAATCTCTAGGTTGGAAGTTTTAGATTTGGAGTGTACATCTTGTTGCTTTTACTGCTCTTACAGATTAGTTCCAAGTCATTCTTGAGAGGTCAGGCACTTTTTAAATAGTTTTACTGCCTGAATCCTGGCAGGTAGCTCACATCTGCTAAAGGTGTAAAAGGATAATTCAGACCTGCTTGTAAAGCAAAGCAGTGACTTACCTATCTACATTCTCAACATCCTATTGCTATTTTGCGATAAATCAAACTTCAGACTTCAAAAAAGCAGACCTCAGCCTCTTCAGGAACCTGCTTAGTAAGGTTCCATGGGATATAGCCCTAGAGGGCAGGGGGGCTCAAGACTCTTGGTTGGTCTTCAAGGATCAGCTACTACAAGCTCAGGAGTGTTGCATCCCAACCAGAAGGAAGTGCAGCAGGAGGGCCAGGAGACCTCCTTGGACGGATAAGGAGCTCCTGAGGAAAATTCAAATGAAAAAAGAGGCTTATAGAAAGTGGAAGCAAGGACAGGCGGCCTGGGAAGAATACAGGGTGTTGACCAGGTTAGGAAAGCTAAGGCCCAGTTAGAATTAAACTTGGCTAGGGATATTAAGGATAACAGGAAGGGATTCTACAGGTGCATAGCAAATAAAAAACAGACTAGGGAGAACATATGCCCCCTCAGGAAGCTCTCAGGTGAACTAGCTACCCAGGATTTGGAGAAGGCTGAGGTTCTGAATGACTTCTTTGCCTCGGTCTTCTCTAGCAAAGGCTCTGACCGCACCGCCCAAGTCTTGGAAGGCAGACGCAGGGACTGTGAGAATTAAGACCTTGGGCCCAACTTGGGAATTGGTTCGAGACCATCTTAAAAGTCTAAACATGCACAAGTCCATGGATCCTGATGAAATCCATCCACGGGTCCTGGAGGAGCTGGAAAATGAAGTTGCTAAGCCACTGGCCATCATATTTAAAAAATCATGGCAGTCAGGTAAAGTTCCCGACAACTGGAAAAAGGGAAATATAACCCCCATTTTCAAGAAGGGGAAAATGGATGACCTGTGCAATTACAGCCCAGTCAGTCTCACCTCTGTGCCTGGCAAAATCTTGGAGCAGATTCTCCTGAAGGCATGCTAAGGGACATGAAAAACAACAAGGTGCTTGGTGACAGCCAGCATGGCTTCACCAAGGGGAAATCCTGCCTGACCAATTTGGTGGCCTATGATGGGGCTACAGAACTGATGGACAGGGGTAAAGCAGTTGATGTCATCTACCTGGACTTGTGTAAAGAGTTCAACACTGTCCCACATGACATCCTTGTCTCTAAATTGGAGACACATCAATTTGATGAATGGACCACTCGGTGGATAAAGAACTGGCTGGATGGCCACACACAAAGAGTTGTGGTCAATGGCTCAATGTCCGTCTGGAGACCAGTTACAAGTGGTGTCCCTCAGGGATCAGTGTTTGGACGGGTCTTGGTTCAACATCTTCATTGCTGACACGGACAGTGGAATTGAGTGCACCCTCAGCAAGTTTGCCGATGACACCAAGCTGTGTGGTTCGGTTGATACGCTGGAGGGAAGGAATGCCATCCAGAAGGACCTTGACACGCTTGTGAGGTGGGCTGATGCCAACCTCATGAAGTTTAACCATGCCAAGTGCAAGGTCCTACACCTGGGTCGGAGCAATCCCAGACACAGCTACAGGCTGGGCAGAGAAGAGATTCAGAGCAGCCCTGCAGAGAAGGACTTGGGGGTGCTGGTCAATGAGAAACATAACATGAGCTGACTTCAGTGTGTGTTCACAGCCCAGAAAGCCAACCATATCCTGGGCTGCATCAAAAAGAGTGTGACCAGCAGGTCGAAGGAGGTGATCCTGCCCCTCTACTCTGCTCTTGTGAGACCTCACCTGGAGTATTGTGTACAGTTCTGGTGTCCTCAACATAAAAAGGACATGGAACTGCTGGAGCAAGTCCAGAGGAGGGATATGAGGATGATCAGGGGACTGGAGCACCTCTGATATGAAGATCGGCTGAGAAAGTTGGGGCTGTTCAGTCTGGAGAAGAGAAGGCTGCATGGAGACCTCATAGCAGCCTTCCAGTATCTGAAGGGGGCCTATAGGGATGCTGTGGAGGGACTCTTCATTGGGGACTGTAGTGATAAGACAAGGGGTAATGAGTTAAAACTTAAACAGGGGAAGTTTAGATTGGATATAAGGAAGAAATTCTTTCCTGTTAGGGTAGTGGGGCGCTGGAATTGGTCGTCCAGGGAGGTTGTGAATGCTTCATACCTGGCAGTGTTCAAGGCCAGGTTGGATGAGGCCTTGGGTAATATGGTTTAGTGTGAGGTGTCCCTGCCCATGGCAGAGGGGTTGGAGCTTGATGATCTTAAGGTCCTTTCCAATCCAACTATTCTGTGATTCTATAATTTTAAATAAATCAGGCTGGTCATCTAGAAAAATCAAGTGGTGTCTCTGACCTAACATTTGTGTCTCTTTCTTTTCCCTTCTCTAAAGGCTCACCCCTGTTAATAGTGCGAAACAATAGATCAGCATTGTTGGAAGGAGTTACTAAATGTCTGTAGAAAAAAAGACAATATTTAACAGTTAAAATTTGGCATTTCTTTGTGAAGAAATCTGTTTTCTATGATAGTTCATATGTGCATGCGAAACTGCGCATGAGCGTGAGGGGAATCAGAAAAGAATTAGATTTAATTTTTTGTCAAAATTCTACACATAAAATATATACACACACACGTGTATTCAGTGGATGGCAGCAGAAAGACAATGAAAGTAAAGTGGATCTTATTGTTAATCAGTATTATTCCTATATTCTGTGGTGATGATGGTTCTAATTTCTCAGTCTGAAGCACTAAACATACCACCTTGATAGTTTTTCTGACACTAATTTCTAACATATTGGATTGTAAGAGGTAGAAATCTTTTCTGCCTATGTGATCCAGTGCCTTAAAGGATGTGGTTGCAGATTTCTACAGCTAATCTCTGCTGACAGAATTGTAACAGTGTATGTAGACCTGTGAGAGATTGGGTCTGTTGTTCTCCTCACTGCTGTCACATACAGCATTGTTTTGTTTGCAGGGGTTTGAAAAGCAGCAAGTCACCGCATCTTTGAGGTGACCCTGTGACAGAAGTTCATTTTCCTGGGATTTGTTTTCTCCTTTGGTAAAAGGAAAAAACGTGTTCATAATGCTGTGGACACCAGTCCTGGCCAAGAATTTCTGATCTAAAGTAGATAATAGTGTTTATGATTGTAGCAGTTTGTAAGGACTTCTAAGTTTGTAGGTATAGTAAGTATTTCTAACGTTACCATCTCCTCATTTCAACTGTATGTGTCAGGACCTCATTGTGTACAGTCAGGTATTGCCAAGGTAGGTGGAACTACACAAGTGACGAATTTGCTATATGAGTGCAAGTTGTCACTCACACTGTGATCTCCGTCTGTTCTAGCTTCTTCAATCCTGAAGAGAGAGAAGCGGAAGAGAGCAAAAAATGTCCATTTTAACTGTGTTACTGTGTATTACTTCACGAGAAGGCAAGGATTCACCAGTGTTCCCAGCCAAGGGGGAAGCACACTGGGAATGTCTACTCGCCACAACAGTGTGCGCCAATACACACTTGGAGAGTTTGCGATGGAACAGGAGAGGCTTCACCGAGAGATGTTAAGAGAGCACCTAAGGGAGGAAAAACTCAATTCTCTAAAATTAAAGGTAAAAATTGTTCAAGACTTTGATCCCTGCCTTATTTGTTCAAATGAACAGTGACAGAGCTATATGACTCCAGTACATGTGTGTTAAACAAAACCATTTCCTTTCTGTCACCTCCATTTTCAGTCAAAACAATGGCATTTTTCTAAGTTTTATTTTTACTGAGCGCATTATTTTTGTTCAGTATTACCAAGTGCTGTTGTAGCTCTTACTGATGTGTGTCTCAGAGTGCTTTACAGCGAGATTGTTATTTACTTCCTGTTTTCTACAGAGAGGAAAACCAAGTCAGAGAGTGGTGGAAGTTAGCCTTGAATAGGGTGTCCAGCAGAAGTCTGGAAGTGGCAGGGAGAGACAAGTCTTCTGAGCCCTTGCACAGTGCCCTGTTAGACAAGGGAATGGTAACATTCTAAGTATGGAAAGTGAAAGAGCTTATTTTCTTGGCCAACTTGAGTGACTTTGGCTAACAGTAACAAACATACTAAAAAATGCTTATTTTGTCAGTGTACCAGTTTATATGGTCATATTTGTAATGCTTCACCAGAGGATGTCTGTGTTGAAGAAGGAACATGTTAGACAAATTAACTGGCGCTATCAGTTTAGCCAGAGCAAATCTTGGCTACGGTTTTGAAGCTCTTTATTTAAATGTAGCATAGGAGAGGAAAGAGACTGTATTTGAGTAGAGGAGACTAGAGAAGAGGATTGTGTTCTTGGAAGTGTCCCTTATGGGTCTTTAAGACTGGTAGCAAAACTCCTGGGTTTGCTATGTTTTCAGAGTGTCTTCCTGTGCAATGACTTGTGTTATATGTATTCCAGGCTCTTCTTCAGATGAATCTTGTAATTAAGTGAATGATATTTAGAGTTCTAGCCAAACTGCTGTGCTCCATAGCCCCTTTTGTGATACTAAATCTGTTTCAGATACTACTGCAGTTGCCCAGGTACCCTCCAAGTTTAAGAAATGCCTTTCAGTATTTTTCCCATAGAAGGAGCCATGTTCATGAGTTCTGTGTCTGAACTCCTGAAGTGTGTATGACCCTTACAATTGTAATTACTTTGTTTTCTCAGTTTCCTAACTGATGTGGGGTTTTGTGGGGTTTTTTGTTTGGTTGATTGTTTTTTGGGTTTTGTTTGTTTTTGTTTGTTTTTTAATTTTTTTTTAATTTTTTTTTAATTTAAATAGCTAAATAGATTCTTGAGTAGCTCATAAAATGTGAATTGTCATAATGAAAACAAACAAACATATAAAACCACTCAGGATAAAGGCAAATTAAAGATGGATATTTGGACAGGTTGGACACCAAAGGCTGGAGTGTGATTTATCACCCGTAGAGATTATGCCTCTGAACATCTCATATCACAGCATCTTCAGAGCACAGAGTGTAAACTGAGCTCTGTCAGTGTAACCAGTGACTCTGTGTAGTTCCCTTGGATGGCTTCCAGGAATCCCAGTGGAGTGGGTAAAGAATAGTAAGGCATGCAAATCTTTAGCCTTTCCTTTTTATAGCTAGGAAGTAAATTAAGAAAAATCACAGGTCCTATTTACTTCTAAAGATTGGATGAAGCCTTTTAGCCTTCATCTGTGTGGAGCAGCGCTCGGCTCTGTGTGCTTTCATAAGTCTCCCCTTGGGTGGGATGAATCTCTTTTCTTCATTAACTTCACACCAGCCCACTCCCTTTTCTGGGACATGGACTCTACTTCCTGCTTCTCTTCCAAATACAGTATGTCCTTCCATCTCCCCAGTCACTTGTTTAAGTGGATTATAATCTTTATTGTGACTGTTTAGTTCTTGCTAAATTTCTTAGTAAGTATTCAGTACATAAGGAAAGCCTGATTTGCTTTCCTCTCTCTGTCCTAATTTTAATTGCTTCCTTTTACCAAATATAAAAGTCCTTTTCCCTACACTTAATTCAGGAGTGGTGGGGTTCTTTCTTCACTGATCCTCAGCAGTTGATGTGACAATACTAGCACATACTGAGACTGGTACGCTGACTTCGAAGTTCAAATTCAAATATTGAGAAACAGTGTTTAGGTCTTCAGAAACCTGAGACTGGCTTAAAACTGTTAACATCTTACTGGTGTTAAATCTTTTACTAGTGTAAAATATTTCTCTTCACTCTCCAGCATGTATGAAAAAATAGGGAACAGAAAACTTCCTTTCTGAAGTAGTCCATTAAACTCAGCTCAGTTACATCTCCTTATACACTTGGGGTAAAAATCAAATAAAAACTACTTTCCCTCCCCAGATTAAATCCAGGACTCACTGAACTAGTGAAGAGTCACTGTAAAGCACTCAGTGTGTTTTATTTGCTTAAGACAACTTGGTCTTGCTGATTTCCTATTGTAGAGATGGAAGAGCCACATGGTCATTCACATGGTTTCTGGATTAACATGAAAACAAAGCACTGTAGCATTGTAAGGTGACAGTGTCAGCAATTATGATCTTTAATGAAAATGTACTAATCAGGATTTGCATCAGAATTACTGTACAGCACACAAAAAGAAAGTGAGAAAATGGAGGAGGGGCAAGTTTGCTTGAAAAGGTTTTAAATTTCAGTTCCCTATAGTTCGGGTTTTGTTTTGTTTCAGTTTGGGGGTTGTGGGTTTTTTTGTCTTTTTTTTGGGGGGGGGGGCATGTTATATGCACTGTATTATAATAATCAAGTCTGTAGGTAAAAAAAATTAAAATTTGTCAAGAAAAAATAGAAATACGGGAATATATTGAAACTGTGTCTTCATAATATTAGGTGCAGTTTATTATTTTACATGCTAAAAGTGAAGAGAGAAATAAGAAGCTTCTCTTAATTAAAAGCAGATAAAGACTTTAAAATCGTTATCAAGTCACATTAGCCATTTAGCACCAGCACTTTGGTGTAAACATTGCTGACAGTGGCATAAACAAACACTTGTCAGCAGCAGTGTGAAGAATGTAATGTAAAAGCCATCTTGTCAAGATGAAAGGTACAAGGTAGGCTTTGCTTTTTAATACATTGTCATTTGAGAAAACATTATGAGTAAGCACAAGAAATTAGGTGGGATAGTCCTTATTGCTTACTCATAATGTCTCCTCAAATTAAGATCTATTAAAATTATTAGTGTGATGCTAGTGATGTTAAGGCTCCTGGGTCTATGGACAGAGTTGATTTCCTTTGTGGGAAGTTGTAAGGAATAATTTCCAGCTAGGGGAGGCAAAGGTGCTAACCTGAATTTTTCACATTTTACAGTTGAAGTGAATTTCACCCAAAGGTTTCACATATTCATTGGCCCTTGCCCTGTTCTGTTGTTGACATTAGCCTTGAGCTTTATGAGATAAATTTAACCCATCTACATATCAAATTTAATTCAGATAAGCAATATTATGACAATCAAGAGAGGTTAATGTGACCCTAAAGTTCTGTATTGGAAAATGTATTTGATGTGTCTTGGTAATCTTCCTCCCTCTGTAGTTACACAATAACTTGTTCAAGAACTCTTCAGATCTTCCATTTCATTAATTCGTTTGTTCTGCATGTGACAAAGCAGTTAAGATTTGCAGGAGAAGGAGGAGAAATGCATGCCAGGTTTGGTATGGTTCTGCAGGTGCCTGTGTAAGCTGAGCAGTTAGAGCATTCACCTCATGGGTAAGAGCCCTGAAATTGAATCTTTATTAAATACTAATTGAATAAAATACTAAAATAATTACAGAAGCAGGGATTAGAATTCTTCCCCAGTTTCCAACTTCAGTTCCAGTAGACATTTAAATAACAGTGATCTGCTTAAGGGGTGCTACGAGCCTTGTGTGTTTAGAGAATTCAGAATTCTTAGGTAGGTCATTCTCCTATTGCATATTACCTAGCTAACAAAAAAATGAAAAACATATAAAAAAATCGAGGATGATGCCATTCTGGATTTGAACATTCAGGCTGAGTTGCATGTACAGCGGAATATTCCCTCCCACTGGCTAAAGGCAGCTAATTCAAGGTGCATTTAATCACTCTCTGGATTTACCTGTCTCTCACAGTAGATTATACAGAAAAAGGATGACTTCTGACGTTGTGTTTTCTACCTTACTGCTAATAACTTTGAAATACCTGCTCTAAATAATCTCTCCATTGTGCCAGGGCCAGGCAGGCCAATTAGGTAACAGCTTCAGTGAAGGAGCTCTTGCCCCTTCCTTTCCAGCCACTGTAAAGGGAAATGAATAATAGAAAATAGAGGGAAAAAAAAATCTGAGGGAAGTTTGAGAGAACATTTTGCAAATGGCTGCATTGAAGAAGAAGAAAGAGGCAGAAGTGTACACACATAAAGAGATTTGAATGTCATAGGGGTAACAGACATGGTAAACAAGCTGAAACATGAAATAAAATGATGGCGGCTCTTAGAGGCAGGAGTCCTGGAGAAAGATTGAGAATACATTGAAAAGCAAAGGAAACAGTAATGCCTATAAAGCAGGGTTGTGGAAGTGGCAGAACACCTCTGCATGAGCTAAATATGGTGCTGAATTCCTAAGAAGGGATGATTACTGCTCTCAGGAGAATTTTTCTTTGTGCAGCACGATGCGTATATGTACACCATATGTAAGCACTACCAGTCGTGACACTGATGCTCTTCTCCTCCAGAGGGAATAGTATTGCTCTTAACCTGACTTTACAAGTCAGGAATAATTGGTTGGGAGGTTTTTTTCTATGATTGGCTTACACAGTTGTTATAAACATAAAACTGCGATTACTAAGAGTAAGCAGTCAGTAGGAGTTCACTGTCAAGTAACTCAGTAGTGCCATAAATGACAGTTACAATTCAAAAGATTGTGGAAAGGACAAACTGTTAATGGGAAAATCAAACAGCTGGGAATATAATAAAAGTAGAAATACTGAAATGGGTAAGATTAAGGACTGCTTTTTTACACACAAAAGCATAGCTAGATGGAGATGACAGGATTTAGGAGCAGAAAAAGTGGGAGGTACCTTTACAGTGACAATTGTTAAATGTCTAAGCAGTGATACACAAGAGACAGGCAATGTTAGATATGACTTCCTTATTTTATCTGTATTTAAGACTGGTGCCTAAAAAATTATTTGTGATAACACGGCAAGCTGAAACTTTCTGCAAGTAAATAAGGCAAATCAGAGAAAGAATTAGAAGGCTATTTTTTCTATAGGTAAGAAACATTCGAATTACATTCACTGGGACTATTTTTCTGAGGTCATGGTGGTGCCCCTGATGAAACTGTTAAGGCAGATGAGACTTGAGACTTCACCAGTGTATAATAAGCACACAGTTGCACCATGTTTTCTCCACAAAAGTAGGAGACCAGGTGCTTGGCTAGTGTAAATCAGCAGCCTCATCAATACAGAGGAAGGAGAACACTTGGAATCTTGGGGGGGGGGTTGGGGGGGTGGGTGTTTTTCCATTTTAAGGAAAATTGTTTCATAGAACAATAATAAAAAGGATTGATTATATGACAGAATAAATAATATATCTGCACTTGTTTCACATTTGCTGTGTAGTACCATGCTTAATGTGAATAACCTGAGACTGAGAAAATGTATTTTTTGTAGTGAATGTCATGTCTGCCCTTTAACATTTGATATTTTCTTGATTCTCAAGCAATTTTCTCTGTAGAAGAACTTTTATGAACCCTGTAGTTGTGTTACATATGGTTGTGCACATTCATAATGCATTACATGTATTTGCATCTATTTCCATATATGGCACATGTGTGAGAGTATAGTTAAAGGACTTTGTTAAATTGTTCTATGCAACAGATGACAAAGAATGGTACAGTGGAATCTGAGGAAGCTAATACGCTGACGCTGGATGACATTTCTGATGATGACATTGATTTAGACAACACTGAAGTAGATGAGTACTTCTTTCTACAACCTCTGCCAACAAAAAAGCGAAGGGCATTGCTGAGAGCTTCTGGAGTGAAGAAGATTGATGTAGAAGAAAAACACGAGCTGCGGGCCATCCGACTGTCCAGAGAGGATTGTGGCTGTGACTGCCGTGTCTTCTGTGATCCAGAAACTTGCACTTGCAGTCTTGCAGGCATAAAATGTCAGGTAAATGTCTCTATCTTATTTAGCTAACAAGAGGCTGGGTAGGTGTGCATGTTAAGTGTTAGATAACACTTGTGGATGTTAAACCAGTTATCTTAGGCCTACCTTTATAAGTATATAATGTGCAATATCAACAGTCTCCTTAAGCGTCTTTATTTTATAGTTGATTTAGACACATAACGTTCAGGGTTTGGAGGTTTTTTTTGTTTTATACAAATATCCTGCTCCTCATATTCCTCTTTGGCCTTTATCTAAATAGGCAGCTGCAGACAACAGAAGAATTGGTAGCCTGCAGACTTAAGAGGGGATATTACCTTTCATTTTAGAGACAATTTACATACTTCCCAAATGTGAATTATAGTCCAAACTCAATGAGAAACAATAAATGACACTTTATTTAACATGCATGATGCTTAAAATGGCTGCATGAGAAATTTGCATGTAGGCAATGAAAAATACATCTGCTAACATAGCAGGTAGTTTTTTTCCTGTGCAGACTGAAAAGGCATTTTGTATTGTACATAGTGTCCTATGTACAGCTGTAAATGTCCTTAAAAGAATGACCCTGAATGCATTTTTCATCTTCTCTTAAATCCAAGCTAAACTTTCTCTGCCATTTTAAATAACATGTTCTCTTTGCTGTTCCTGTTTTCATCTGCACATGTGATAAAGATGTACTAGATTGTGTTATATGGTTTTCCTCTGCATTCATATTTGATGTTTGGGTATTGCAGTATAGATGAAAATCATAGACCTCAAACTATGTAACTAAACTATCCAGAATGTGAATTCAGACACATTTTTAGGAATTTAAGACGGATGAGATATATAAGTTCTTCCCACAGTCTATTGAACTTGCAATATTGCATCTGCAATTGACTGAAATACCTTGTAAAATGTACTTCAGCTTTTACTCCTACTTTCTGTGGTCAGGTGTCCCTATTGTCAACTTCATAAAGTTTTTTATATACAATTCATTTTCTTTCAATAGGTTTCTATTTTCAATGATTTTTACCAAATTTAAAATGCTTTTCTGGTAATGCTTTCCAGGAATCATAGAATCATAGAATAGTTAGGGTTGGAAAGGACCTTAAGATCATCGAGTTTCAACCCCCCTACCATGGATTGAGCATAACATGAAGTAAAGGGGTAGGAGATCCATAAATAGAAAAACTACCTATTTTTTTGTTCCACTGTATAATGCTTTCACCTATGGAACAGAAATGTATTTTTCTTATTCTGCAGCATTGCTGCATGTATGTGTCCCTTGCTGTTCCTATGAGTACTGCTGAATTCCAGGGCTAACTCCTCTGAATTATTGTTAGCTTTGACTGTGCTTACAAGCATTTCTTGAGGTGAATCCCACTTCACTATTGTAGAATCATAGAATAGTTAGGGTTGGAAAGGACCTTAAGATCATCTAGTTCCAACACCTCCCCCCCTGCCATGGGTAGGGACATTTCCCACTAAACCGTGCCACAACCTCCCTGAGCAACCCATTCCAGTGCCTCACCACCCTTACAGTAAAGAACTTCTTCTTTATATCCAATCTAAACTTCCCCTGTTTAAGTTTTAACCCGTTACTCCTTGTCCTGTCACTACAATCCGTAAAGAGTCCATCTCCAGCATTCCTATAGGCCCGCTTCAGATACTGGAAGGCTGCTATGAGGTCTCCACGCAGCCTTCTCCTCTCCAGGCTGAACAGCCTCAACTTTCTCAGCCTGTCTTCATACGGGAGGTGCTCCAGTCCCCTGATCATCCTCGTGGCCCTCCTCTGGACTTGTTCCAACAGTTCCATGTCCTTTTTATGTTGAGGACACCATTTTGTACCATATTGTACTTCTCTAGGCTGTCTAGGTTCTGTTGTATGAGCAGGCTTATGCTGCGTATTGTTAATGTGTATTCTTTTTTTCACAAGGTGGATCGTATGTCTTTTCCATGCGGTTGCACTAAAGAAGGCTGTAGCAATACAGCAGGTAGAATTGAATTTAACCCTATCCGTGTACGGACTCACTTTTTGCACACGATAATGAAACTTGAATTGGAGAAAAACAGAGAGCAGCAAGTTCCAACACTAAATGGCTGCCACAGTGAGATAAGCGCACACACTAGTTCTATGAGTCCGGGACCCCATCCGGTTGAATATTCAATTGCAGAAAATTTTGAGATTGAAAATGAACCTCCGGCTGCAGTTATGCATTCGCAGTCAGCCGAGGACTTGGACTGCCCTGGGGAAGAGGAGGAAGAGGAAGATGGGAGTAGCTTTTGTAGTGGAGTTACAGATTCTAGCACACAGAGTTTAGCCCCTAGTGAATCAGATGATGATGAAGAGGAAGAGGAAGATGAGGAGGAAGATGAGGAGGAAGAAAAAGCAGATGATTTTGTAGAAAGCATGGGCTCCCATGCTGATATGGTGCCTCTTCCTTCTGTCCTTTGCTACTCTGATGGAACTGCTGTGCATGAAAACCACTCTAAAAATGCCTCATACTATACTAACTCTTCAAATCTGTATTACCAAATAGAGAGCCACGTTGCTGGCACTGCTAACCAGATCAGTGAGACTTACTCAGAAAGGGATGCTGTCAAGAATGGTAGTCTTTCTCTGGTGCCTTACAACATGACTTCAGAACAGTTTGTTGACTACACACGGCAATCAGAGGAAACTTTTAGCAGCGCTCACTACCCTTCTGCAAACCCCTCAGTGATTGTTTGCTGCTCATCTTCTGAAGGTGATAGCAGTGCTCCCTGTAACAGTTTATATATTGAGCATAGGCCAAGTCACCCTCAAGTGGAATTTCACTCATATTTGAAAGGTCCTTCTCAAGATGGGTTTGTTTCAGCTTTGAATGGTGACAGTCATGTACAGGAGCACCCTGCTGAGAATTCATTAAACCTCCCAGAAAAGAGCAGACTGCATGAAGAGTGCATCAAATCACCAGTGGTAGAAACGGTACCTGTTTAATATTAAATTTATTCTAGGACTGACTTCCTGTATCAAAGTGCACTCATGCTGGATTTCCTGGAAACTTACTTTTTTAAGAGGTAGACAACACTTGGACTACAGTCAATGTTCCAGACACATTTTGTTTTCTCAAGCTACACTGGCAGTGATAATTGCACAAAACCAGTTCATGTAAAGATTTAAATAAGAATAATCAAACTGTCTTTTGATAAAAACGAAACACCTAAGTAAAACCACACCCAACATCTCAAAGTAGCCTACCTATCAAAGTATGTGAAACCTGCCAAGCTATCTGAATCAAAGCTTCGTGTTTTTGATTGTCGGGCCTGTGCAAGATTGTTAAAAATGATAGTTTGAAAAAAATCATGTTTAGAGTCCTAGTTTTCAACATATCTGAAAAGATGGTAAGTTTAATGTAAAAGTAACTACTGTACAAAAAAGTTTTAATTGTTCTGTACTGTATGTATTTTATTTATGGTAGTTTAGTACTCATGTTTTGAGAAAAATGAACAGCATGTTCATTTGAGCAGAAGATCCGTAGCTAGTTACAAAGAACATGTCCACTCGTCATCTGGAGTACCTTGTATTCATCCATTTTGGTTTTTTAATTTTTTTCAAATACCATTTCTGGAAAATTCTTTTGAAGCGCATTTTTAGACTGTACTATTTTCTCATTTGCTGTATTTGAAAAACAGAAGAGTCAGAAAGGGGGCATTTTATATCTTCTAGAAAGATGAAAGGTAGACAATCCTCCATTTAAATTAAAATCAGTGGCATTCCAGAACTAGGACCCCCTCCCCAAAGAAAAATGATCTTTTATATAAAGGCAAAGCAGTAGCTTCAGCTTGCACAGCACCTTTTAGCTCAACAAACTTTCAGCTATTTATGCACTTTAGTGCCATTTTGCAGTACTGTATTAACTGCGGGAACTGTGAACTATTCTGGAGAAATGCCATAGCTCCAGACTCTGAGGTGTATGTAAGATCCTAAAATTCATTGTGACAAAATCTATACATTTTTCCCGAGCCAGTTTATGAAGGTGTCAGTAGGCAATGTGTTAAAGCAGGTTCTTACTGGTCAGAATTTAAATGAAGCATGGGGAAAAAAAAAAGAAGTGTGAAGTGTCTAGATCTCATAAATATTTAGCAGTTTTTATGAAACGAGACTGGCTTTTGTGGACTTCTAATTGTATCTCAGACTTACAGAATCACTTGGTCTAATGAAGAGCCAGTAGATTCAGTGAAGAAAAATAGCTTCAAAAATTTTATATTTGCTAAAGTTTGCAAGCAGCATAGCGTGTGCATCATGGGGGGATATCCCTTACCCTGTACTCCATTTGTTTTTAAATCAAATGCGAATTAAAATACCTACTGTATCTCACCCTTTAATCGGTTAACCAACCTTGCTTTCCTCTAGAAAAAAGAGGTATAGAAACATACTTTTCTCTACAAGATACTTCTGCACTGCCTTATTTTGGTTTCAAAATCTATTTATTTAAAAAAATTTCTTCTTCTAATACTGAAAATTTATTTATTACACATCAAGTGGGTTGCAATGTAGACCTGTCTTGTTTGTCAAAATAAGGACCAGCGTCTTAGTTTTTATCTGTGTCAAATCTATATGGTTAACAGTATGCATGTAAACACAGTGTAAAGTTTAGCTCTGTAACAGTGACTCTTCTGGTTAAAAGCTCTTTAAAACACCATGTACAGTACTCCAGTAGAAAACTGCCAGACTTAAAATATGCTTTTTTTAAAAAATAAGCTGACTTAATTGTTTTTATATGAAATCTGGGCAAAATGATTTCTCATTTTTATGCTGAATTAGCAAAATATTTTTACTCCATGTAGTAACTGGAACAGTTTCTTTATTTACTTGTTTCCACAAGAAGTCCTACATGTTTTATATGAACTGCATTGAAGAGTCCTAGTTCTCTAGGGATTGGATTTCACACTTGCAATGTATTCCATCTCCTGAGAAAGTGCAGGCATGTTGATTATCTGGCTCAGCAATTCCTTAGCCTCAGCTCCCCTTTAAGGAAACTGTGGTCTCTTTCTGTAACGGTTGAGTAGCCAGGTAAGCACATGTATTCTCCAGCTCCACACAGCAAATACCCATCTTTATTTTTAAAGTAAAGTTTGTTAGTTCTGCATCTAATAATAATATTATTCTGCTCAAGATAGTCTATGGGCAAATGCAGCAAGTCTCTGTGTATCTAGGCATCTTGCATTAATAGCAGGCTTAAATCTGGCACTGTCACTCAACACCAGCACCAAAAGCACAAATCCGTTATTTCTTGAGCTGGGACAGTAGCTGTGAATAAGTAGCAGCTTTTTAACCTCAGAGTGTGTTGGAGGATCATGCACACTTTTACCAGGGTATTTCTCTCAGGGGAAAGTTAAATGAAATATTTTGGTTTGTTATTCACCCCCTTATTGAGCAATAAGAAATTATTTTCTTTCCCCTGCTCTTTCACATGAAAAATGTCTTTAATAATATTAGCAAGCACAGTAAGTGATTAACTTAATAAAATACATCTCAGCAAGCTTTAAAATACTGAGATGATAGTTATTTAGTATTTCCATTGACACCTGCTTCAGAGCCCAGGCCTCCTTAAATTTGCATCTGTATACACTTCAAAGTACTCAGAAGTTTGTTCTGTGCCATCCAGGCATCAGGGGTGACTACAGCTAAATTCTCTAAAGCTTGCCTCATTGGATAACAAGCAGTAGCTTGTAATAGGTAAGGTGGAGAAGGCAGTGACTATGTAAAGAACTTGTGCTACACTATTTTCCCTTGTTTAAAGTAGCTCATTCCTGGGACTCACAAAGTAAAATATGCAGTATAAAGATTTATGTTGAAAAAAGAGTCTTAACTACCTGGTGATAATGTAGCTAGTAATACCTTTCTTTTGATCTGACCTGATGTTTTTTGATCAAGATTTGATCTCGGGATACAGAGCAACCAAACCTTGTTTAGTTCTTGCAACAAGTTACAAAGTCAAATCTGTTTATAATTCATGGAGATTTTGTGGTAGCTATACTAATAATATCAACAAGCCTTCTAACTGAGTAAACTCATGCTGAGGTGAAAAGAACAAAACAAAAAAAAACAAATCCAAAACCAGTAGTAACCTCTTGTTTTGATACAGGCATAACCTGTTCCCCAGCCAATTCTGTATCAGCAACTAACAAAGCTAAGGCCTTTTCTAGCATGTATAATTTGACTAGAGTGAAAAAACAAGTCACAGCCTTGACCAAAACAGGCTAATTTGTGAAATCTAGAGTAGGCTGTAGAAATAAGTGAGACTGTAATCAACCCTTGATTAGGCTTTGATGTTTTATTTAGAAGAAGATAAGGAAGTACTCTTCAGATAAGAAAAAATAAACTTAAATCATGGGATGGGAAATGTAATGCCATTTTCTGGGCTAGTGTATAGTAATAGATGATATGTTCCATTTCCCACTTGGTTAATATTCATATTGATGAGGCCTTTCATTTTGGGTAAGCTTATTTCTGTGTGATAAAAGTATTGTTAGAAATGACAAACAGCAGTATTTGCTTCTGTATTCACACAGTATATAATTTGTGGAAATGTTTACTGGTAGTTGTATCTGCTTGATTTCCAACACATCTGGCTACTGCTAATCACTCCGGAGAATCCAGGTAGTAAATAGGTAGATAGTTTATGATTACACTACCTAGTTCAGAAAAATGAGCTGTATAAAAGCACTTTCCTCTGTTAAATGACAACAGAATTTTCACACATGATATCTCTGAACAGCACCTAAAATTGGATGGCTTTTTTGCATATAATGTGAAATTTACCTCTCTTGGAAAGAATGCATTGCTAAAATTTATACATAAAACTGTGAGGTTAGATGTGAAATTAGAACTTCTCTGACAAGATTGCAACAATTGCAATTGTTTCCTGGGAGTTGTAACTCATGCCCTGGAACATCCTTTAGTAAATTAAAAGCTGGTCAGTAGAAGTTTCTAATATTTCTTCACCACCCAAAAAAAAAAAAAAAAAAAATTGTAATAATCCTTTGATGAGCTGTATGCCATTTAGATCAGAAGGTTCCAGATTTGTAAAGTTCTACTGTTGTTCATTTACGTAAGTTCTTGCTAGTGAAACATAATTTCAGTTGACATTTATTTAAGACCATTGGTTACGCTATGATAACCACCACCACTTGCTATAGATAGAGTTCAGCCTCCTCACTGATAGTTACCTGAGTCAGTCAGCAATGCAGTCCTGCCTTTTGTGTAAGCTCTGCAGAAATGGATGTAGTATTCACGGCAGTGTTACTCACTAGATGATTGCTAACTGATCCAGATCCAGTTTCTAATCTTATCTGGGTGCTGCATTTCAGTAAACACGCTATCAAACTGATCATGTAGCATTCCCTGCCTCACCATCAGGAGGATGTCTTCACAAAACACAGCTGCTTTGTTACAGACTATACATACATTTTTATGCAAAATAAGATGTGATGTTTTTTCTTATTTCAGGTGTTCCTCTTTGATAGAAATGTGATATACTGGATAGCATTAGGCTCAGAGAGAGGTAGACCTGGGTTCTGCTGGTTTTGCCTTTGTCATTCTGTGTCACTTCCATTCCCTGTGTTCTGGTTTATAAGGTACTTGGAGATATTGTGATAAAATATTAATTCTACACAACTGGCTAAATACAGTTTTCTTCCTTTTTTGGCATAACTAAATTTTTGTACTGCAGATTGAGTCACTTTCCCAATAAAGCCCAATCCAGCTCAGAAGTGACTAGAAATTTTATCAGTAATGTGAAGCAGCAAAAGCAAGCTCCCTTTTCCATGGACAGGGTTAACACACAAAAATTTAACAATAAATTTCATAGTGAAAATTAGAACAGAAGCTGTGTTGAATATACATTTACCTGTTGAGTGCTTAACATCTGAGCAGCAAGATTGTAGTTTACCTGCAACACCACAGTTGGCAGCAACAGGCAGTCTTATTGCCCTGTATGGTGGTGTCTTTTGCCAGCTGACCTCTCTCAGTGAAACTCCTTCTGTAGGCTGCTGGCTCTGTAGCAAAGCAGGTGCCCTTATTCAGAGTGAAAGCAAGAGAGAACCAAGTTATTGTTTTAAAAGGCATTTGATATATAAGCAGCTACCATAAGTTGCATAAGCTCATGTTCACTGTGCCAGTTGTTTAATTTCCTGAAGCAGTCAGGAACAGGTACAAGAGAGGACAATATGGTAAGTCCTTAAGTGTTTTGGGGTGTTGCACCTTCCCACTGAAGCTAAAGAGTAATTCTATCATCTACTTTTATTATGGTTGCAGAACATTTGTAAAATACTTCCGAAAAACTAGAATTAACTCAGAGAATATATTCTATAGAATTTATTTCTAAAGTAAAAAATCTGATTACTATTTTTTTAAAATGGTAGAAAGCTACTGTTATTTTCAAAACAGAGTCTAGTTCATTAACATGTTCTTTGGTATAAAAAAAAATAATCTCAGTATTCGCCTTTTCAATGTTCCCAATTTTTTTTATCCTTAATTTTGCTGTTCTCTGTAATTACTGTCCATGTGCAAATTATTAATTGTCCATTTTCTCCAGAAGTGTTAAATCCAAAGCACAAGCATTAAAGTGATGAACAAGTGCAATTTAGTTGTAAAGACATCTGAGTGAGCACAGGCTCAAGTTCTCTGTAAGTGCTTCTTGTTCACCATCTCTTCACTCATCAGAGGCAGCTTTTAATTTTGTTGCTAATAAAACATGCCAGAGTATTGTTTTCATATAAGGAGGAAAGTTATCCTTGAGAACTTTCTGCTACCACTAATAGCCGATACCAAGAATTTTATAAGAACATCCAATTCATGAAATACCTGTTTTGCAGCTTTAGTCTTTTCTTTTGAATTCCTTCCTCCCTTAATCTTAGTGTTTGGCAAAAGTCTGTTGAACAGTAAGGCTTTTTATTAAAATGGAACATGAAGCAACTCTCATGCCATCCGTGCTATGTATCGTTTATGTTACATTAGTATGTAGATAGATTGAAACTGTAGTGAAAAATAGTCCCCCATTGGCTGAATATGAGAGTCATGATGGAGCAATTCCACTGGGGGGTCAGTAGATTCTCTCTTTCCATATACACAAACAGGAAGGAAACCCACCCCACTGGCTGCAAACGTGGTAGGAGATCCTCATTGGCTCCTGGGGCCCGTAGATCCAGGGGAAGAATGTCATTCATGATACAGCACAACCCAGTACAGGATGAAAATCCAAGATTATTAAAACCAGAAAAACATCATTTAGGCGAACAAAACATTTCCTTCAAACTACTATTACAATTTTTTTTCCAATTTAATAAATAATAAATTAAA